CGTCAGGTGTTTCCACTTATTCAGTACTGCTCAGTTCTAAGGTCTAACTGCGTTCTTAAATCCGCCTGGATTCGTATCTGTGGCGCACGGTCTAAATGGCACCCGAAACAATGCGCATAATAAATATTCTTGTCGGCGGTTTTTGGGGTAAGGTGGTGGCCCAGTGGTTCGGTGGTTTTGTGGACGGGGCTGCTGGGTAAACCTGTTCGGCTTATTTATGGGCAGTCAGCCAAGGCAGTAGGGAACCCAAATGTATCTGTATCTGTTTGACTGCATGCCACCGCCATATCGCCATACCGTTATAACTTTTGTTTTTGCCCCCGTGTGCCTCTTTTCTTTTTCTTTCTCGTTTTTCGGCTGCGGCCTGTGCACATAATTCGGTTTCATTAATAGTTCAAATAACTGCACAAGTGCCTCGGCGAGCCATCAAAGGCAGACACACTCGAACACTCGGTGCGCCATTTTTATGACCCCATAAAGCAGGTCCTAAAGCTGTAATCTATTGATCTACAGACTTTCATAAAGATCGAATTGCAAACAAGCCACGGAATGCAAATACAGTCGAAATTCGAAATAACAAAAGATATTTACCAATATTGCAAATGGATTTTTAAAAATATATAAATTATTTAATAAATCACTAAGTTTAGGTAACCATATATAAGATGCATCTATAAGAAAATATTTGAATCTTTTCCAAAAAAGCAAAATGACTTCCTGAAGATTAGTTGACAAACATTTTCAATTAAAACCAAAATACCCAACTTTAAATTAATGTGATTCCATAACCATACAATGGAACTATAAAATTAATTAAACGAAAAACACTTGAGGATCGAAATTTAGGTAACTGTATGTGAGATGCAACTATATAAAAATATTTGAATCTTTTCCAAAAAGCAAAATGACTTCCTGAAGATTAGTTTACAAACATTTTCAATTAAAATCAAAATACCCAACTTTAATTTAATGTGATTCCATAACCACACAATGGAAATATAAAGAACTATAAAGAGGTTAATTTTAGAGAATTTCGCCTGTAGTTGTGTATTGCTTTTGAGCTGCTACATTAATTTCGATTGCACAACTAGCAAAATGACAACAATGTCTGTGGGTACACTTGACCGGGCAAAAAAATAAGTGGAAACAAATGAGAGCAGACCTTAAATATCAAGTAATAAGCCAATGCGGCAGCAATCGACACATATGCAAACTCGAGGCCCCGAAGACCAGATCGTGGCTCCACATCCACATCCACCTAGTATCCCGGGTCTCTTGTGTCCGCCTTGGCCAGTTTCCATCGCCAGCGGTTTCCCACGCTAGGCTGCAGCTGCTCCGATCGCCGCGGATTGGATTGGATCGGATTGGTGGAATGGATCGGCGATGTCGAGAATGCCCAGTTGGTGGTGGCTGCTGATACGAGTATTCTAATGCGCCCGGGACACGGATGGAGATTAATTAATATTGCAGCCAGGCTTTTTGCAATTCATTGTTTCACAATTATCTCTATGGTATGGCGGAAATTCACAACACCAGTTGTTCGCCTTTCAGGAACTCCAATTTGGGTTTCCTTAAAAATCCGAACCTCGGTTAATTATCGCCTAATGCTAGCATGACAAATCCCAGTAATCTTCGTATTATGTGAGCACCGATGACGTGACTTTCGTGATGAAGACGACGATCGCAGAGGAAAATAAACTAAATATGTTGAACTTAACGAATGTCCGCTAAGTATCAAACACAATCTTGAGAGTTTTTTGGCTTTTGTTGTCGGCTATTTGTATTTAAAGTTTTTCTCCATTCAGTTTGTTTTTTGCTTTGCCGTCAAGGTCTTTTGGCGGCAAACGCAGACAGATTTATGGGAAGGGGTGTTGCCTTTTATAATTTGGCAAAGTTATCTGTGCTGTTGATGTTGTATAATATTTACCTTTGCTCGGAATACATGTATAATTTGGAAGCCACTCATCTCGACTACGTGGAAGATCTGTGGGGGCGTGGATAGTGAATCTGGCCCCTGAGAAAATGCTTTAATGTCAAGTGTGGCTCACAGAATTTTCGGTTGGCTGGCATTGTTAAGGCTTAGGACTTAAGGCACTCGAGTGGCCAAAACTGTGTTTTCAACAAGTTTTTTTTCGTTCGTTTCGGCGACTTGATTGCTTCTCTGTTTTGGGCACATTTCATCAAATGCCTGTTCACTCAATTAGATGTTGAGACTGAGGACGTTGCCATAGCTCTGAGTTTGGATTATGGAATCGAGCGGTGAAGAGCTTGTGCATATTGAGCTTTGTTTATTGTTTGTCCACTTCTAATTGTTTGCCATGTCAGGCAGAAAACAGAACCAATTGAAATGTGATGTGGCTATTTATAAGATTTATTTGTGGTTTTTGATTGTGAAACTTTTGGAGTTTAAATTAAAGGAAATTGAAGAATAATAAATATATACCTGTATTGTATTAGACTTTACTGCAAAAGTTGTAGATCTTTAATTCATTTTTAATGACAAATAATGACAAATACCAAAGTATATATTTAAATTTCACCAGTTATTACTGCTATTTTATTTAATTTATTGCTTAAAAATATGCAAATATGGTGTAAACAAATATAATTAAAACGCCAGTAATGGCGTATAAAATCGGCGTTGGGAATCAAATGAAACCCATAATTTTCGGTTGAATGATACCCTAAAAACATCTTAAGGAATTCAACTCTGGCCGAGCTCGGCTGCCTGCACATTCAGCGATTCGCCGATGCCAAAACCGGTTGGCATCACTGATTCAATAAGCATTTCAACTTAGCATCGATCTGCGAGTCGATCGTTGATTTATATAGCCTATAGAGCGACTGCAACCGCGGAATGTCTGATACTTTTTTGTATAATTTGCACGCAATGAGTGTGCAAGCGACACGAGGCATTAATTACATACATGTGATGACATCATCGTCATCTGTCAGTTTGCAGATTTCAATTGCATACGCTCTCAAATGTCAAATGAAAGTTGCAGCTGGGCTTCAAAATTCCAACCTGCATAATAGTTAATTAGTTTTTTTGGTTTTTGTTGTCTGTCAGATTCACACGCAAACACTAAAGATGGGAAGATTGCGAAAGCCGAGAGAGTCTGTAGATTGTATATTGCATATTTGATAGTAACTCAACTTTATATAACCGACTTGCCCAGGGTGATTAGCTCTGATTGATTTGTGCTCTCGGATGGTCGTTGAGCATTTGCATATCGCCTCTTCGTTTGGCTTGTAGCCAATGATTCGCTGGTTTTCGCTTAACACGTATACGCACCATGTGCAGCTGCAAATTGAGCGTTTAAACCTGTCTGTCCGATAAACCGCAACTGCGGCATTACGTAACTTTCGCTGCATCTCGCGAATTACGCCTGTGACCATGGGCCATCTTCGAGTACAAAAGTTATCATCGCCAGCAACTGTAATTGTTACCGAATTCGGCGCAATCACGAATACGAAACAACTACTCCATGACCCCAAAAAAAACCCCGACAACTGTAAGAGTCACAGAAAATTATCATTATTATCAAAACATTGTCATCAAAAAAGGCGAAGAGAAGAGAAAAACTAGAAACACTTGGCCGCTGGCGTTGGTTTTGAATTTCTAGATGTTGCTGCTGCCGCTGCTGCTGTCCGTGCAACTTTTATTGGATGGCAAGCGTGCTAAGCATGGCTGGCTTTTAAGCATAAACATCGCCAGCGGCGAAGACACGAAAAAATAATACAGAAGAAAAATAAGCAAGACAAAACCCAAGCAAACCAAACCAAAAACAAAACTAAAACCAAACTAAAACCAAAAGCAAGTTCTGTTATGCACAGTGGGTTGCATTTGGGGAAAAAACATAGTGGATAGATCTGAACAAACTATGGGAGCTGAAGATATGCTTTAGATACACCCCAGCCCCATTTGAAAACGCTTTTCTTTGTGCCGTCGTCTGCCAGATATGATAATATCTCGTTAGGTAAGGGCTTATGTCAAGGCATTTCCCTATTTTGCCTTTTGCCATCACGATTGTCATTTCGGGCAAAAGAGAAAGCAATAAATTAAATGCATATAGAGCCATTAAATTTCACTCATTGATCCATTTGGTATTGGCATTTGTACTGGTCCCCCGTGTCTCGCCTAAAGGCAATTCCACAGATTGCAGTTTTCTGCCAAATGACCAAAGTGCCTTTTCACTCGAATTTCCCACTTCGCCTTTTCCCCCGGAATCGAAATCCTTACTGGGCGCTGCGTTTTCTGTCTGTTGACAAATGACATAAGCACTCCACTCCATCGAAAGGCGAACAAACTGTTTGTTGCCAACAACCAACTACCAACAAAAGAGCGAATCATGCTCATATAAGGCCGGTCTTTAGCCGCCGTTTGGCTGACACTTTCAGGGTCAACCGGTGCGTAATCAATGGAATCACCGAATCGCCGCCCCCGCAAACAGTTCACAGTTCAGCGTTTTGCGGAAATCGAAACCGAAGGCGGGAGGCAACCTTAAGATGCTCAAAATGCAATTCCACTGAGCCAAAAATCAAATTGATGGCCAAAAAACAAGTTAATCGTACACTGGGAAGATGGGGAATGCAAAAATTCCTATTCAGATAGGACTTAATAATCTTTTAATTATTCTTAAAACGTTAGTGATTTTAAAATTTTTTAAAATAAATTATTTGAGTTTAAAAAAGATTTTTTTAAGATCTAAGTTGGAATATTTTTACCCAATATTAGAAGTCGCCTAGATTTAGATTTTTAAATATTTAAAAAGAAAATCTTTAAATTAAAATCTGATATTTTGAAAACCTATTATATTATCCCAAATTAAGTTGAAATATTTATACCCAATATTGCCAAAAGACAAGTGCTCTTCAGTTTTTCACTCTGTAAACTCGTCTATGCATCCACACAACTTCCTCTATATAAGTAGATGGGAATGTATTCCACGGCACGGTTGTGGGCTACAAAATAAATAAAAATACAAAAACTGGCTTACCTTCTCTCCTCATTGTTATACAGTTGAACTGGCGTTGGTATTGTTTCGTTTATTTATTGTTAACGCTTTTTGCCAGCCACTGCGACAGGTTGTTAGTTTCTGGCTGCTGTACACATTTCATTACACTTCACTTGGCTGCTGCACCGAAAATCGAAAACAGAAAACAGTAAACCAAAAAACAAACAAATGGCAAGAGAGGTGGAGAAATATTAATATAAATAAAGGCGATGACGTCGTCGTCGTCTCCAACGGAGATATGCAAATGCGTTGGTGTGTGTGTGTGTGTGGGCCAAAAACCTTCACTGGTTCTGGCCAAAATGCCAGCCAACACATTACCACATGGAATAGATCGCGAGGTGTATGATATAATCGGTATCGCTGGCATGAATGAATGAACGAAAGGCGTTGCAGCTTCTCCCCAGTTGGCTCGAATCGGTTCGAGGCGGCCCAAACACAATGGCCAAGACTCCCAATAGACTTCGGAACTCGTCTAACTAAGCTCAAATCTTCTCGGCCTAAGCTCGGTTTTTCTTTTTTGGTTTTTTTGCGGCGGCACAGCAAATTGCAGCGCCATAATGAAATCGCCCATAATCTTGGCTACGGCTAATAATAGCAGCAGGTTTTGGAGCTGGCCAACACACACACAAACACACACTTAGCTTAGACACAGATACAGATGGTGAGCAAATTTGGCCAGCACTCCGTTCTGTTTCCATTTTTTTTCTGCCCAGCAGATCGGGCGTATACTTCACGCCGAAAAAATTCAAATGACACTCACGTAATCCGCTAAAAATAGTTGAATTTGCTGCGCGTTTTTTTCTTTTTCTTGTTTTTGTTGGAGTACAACTTTGTTTTGCTATTGTATTGTTTGTCAATCGCGGGGATTGCAAATGCACCGCGGTCCGGGACAAAAAATCGAAGCGAACGCGTCGCGATCTCGGCTCGAACTGATCGCTCGGGAGTTGCGACAATGTTCCAGCACCTGTGAGTGGTCTAAACTGGTCTAAAACGCGACTCGAACCGGTTTCGCTCTTGGCCAAGACAATCTCTATACGGTCTTCGGGCTCTTTCCCAACGTTTCTCTCTCGTTTGCGACTGTGCCGGTCTCCACCATCTGCACTTTGCACTTTTGGCGACTGCATTTTCTTGTCAAACTGCAAAAACTGCATTTAATAACCGTTAACCGAAACTTCTGCAACACGTGCAGTCTATTTACACGCAGAAAAAAATTTTGTGACTTGGAAACTTCATTTTATAAGATGGAAAATGCATAAATAACAACTTTTAGATGGATTTTAATAATGGTTTTCGTTTTGCTTATGTTAGTATTATTTTTGAGTGTTTCAAGTTTCAAAAACAAATAATTACAACTTTAAAAATTTGCTTTTATTTATTTAAACTTTTTAAAATAAATGAAATGGTGTACTAATCTTAGATGATGATAAAGTTGAAAAACAGTTAAGTGTTTTTATTATGGTCCTGTAATTAAAACTATAATTATAGTTTCCGATCTCAAACATTTTCCCAGTGCAATGGGAGGTCGATTGGGAGGGGATGACGTTACTGGGGTTGAAGGTGAGGTGCATTGGAGGCTTACTACATTAGGCTTCATTGCCTGACAGGCACCACTTTTGGCCAGCTGCCGCACGTGACTGTGCAATGCTTTTGACTGTTGGTTGGAGCATTAGGGGTCAGGTAAGTTGGGGGCTTAATTTGCATCATGTCATTAGGATGAGTGGCATCGATAATGGGGCCAGACCCCGGGCTCTCTGGGTCACTTTTCCCCAAAATCCTCGTCGTTGAACGTTTAAGGTTGCATTTCATACTGCTGATGTGATGCTATTCAAAATGGGTACTCATGTAAATAAATATTGTATTCCACATTTTCGTTGCCAGTTCGCGCTGCTTGCTCGTACATAAACACCAGCTTTTACTTCTCTCGCGCTCTATAGAATATGTACAAAAATATTGCGAAAATTATTCAACAACTTTTGTACAACTTCCGCTGGCACAGTTTGCATTAGTTTATTTGACAATATCATAATGTTGGAAATATAATTTGGCATTCCCATTTTTAATGGAGAATGACATCATTTTAATCAAAGCTGGGCAAGTTGAAAAGGAAATTACTCATATAATTTATATAATTATTTCCATGTTTCAGTTTAATCTCTTATTTATACAAGCCTTAGTTATGAATCAGATATTATTATATCTTTCATTAAGTATAATTAAAGAATGCGGATGTATGAATATTTTGGAGAACTGTCTAATGAATTCTGGGTGTTATTCTGGGTGTTACATTTTTTTTATTTCTTAAGTTCAGTGGATAGTAAGTTTGATATCTTTGATTCTGCCACGAACAGAATCCTGTGCAAAACACTTTCTTTGTCTATTTCAGGTTCCCTGTCTGTCAGCACTTTTTGTACACACATGTAAGTGAGAATTTTTTTGTGAAATTTGTTTCAGTTCCTGGTAGTACGTTACTTTTTGTTTACTTTACGCATCAGGCGCAGCTCGAGAACGAAACGTCTGATGTTTGTTCTTTGGCACTGCAAGTCGTAAAAAGTTTTTTGTGTGCGCTCTGTGTCCTCGGCTGGTGTCATAAAAGTTGCATAAAACTGCACAGATTTTTCAAACAGAGTGTCGTGAAAAAGTTTAGGATATGCTTTGCCTTAAATACAATGGCACATCTACGTGTGCATGTCTCAAAGGATCGCTTTAACGCGACCCTTGCCACTGGCTTTAAATGCCAAGTAGCAAATGGCTACAAAGGAAATACGGGCAAAACGGCGGCCTCGCATGTGTCGGGATTTAATTTAGATAAAAGCTTTTCCACACTTTCACTCCAGACCTTTGACGTGCACCAGATAATGCCTCAAATCAATTCAGTAAACATTTTCCCGGCCGCAACCCTGACAGCAAGAGGACAATTTATTTTCATACGGCTGACGTTTGGCCTGTCGTCGGGATTGATTCTAGCTTATCAGTTCAAGAAAGTTTCAGGGATATTAAATTTTACACATTTTCATACTATCTGGACAGTAGCTTAGAATGTGTATTGCCAAAAAAAATAGAAAGAACAAACAAAGAAGTGATTATTTCGATAGTAAGAGACTTATAAATGTTTTTAAAGCATTAAATATTAACATTTGTCAAACGCTGAAACAAGAAATCCATTCCATGATAATCCAATATTTACCTTTTGCCACCTTCATTCGAACCCTTTCGAATTTCCAACGAATTGCAAAGCGAATAAAAGACAGTTGGTAGTTAATTATTCATTGACATTTATTGATTGAATTTGATAATGTTTTTCTGCAGCATTTTGTTTGAATTTACATTGAATATGTGTTAAGGGTTTTCTTTGTGTTCATTCTTATTTTCCCTATCGCTTTCGTATCGATTTGTTTTGATTTGATATTAGCTGTTGCACAGACACACAATAATGTACTTAGGGTTAGTTAAGAGTTTGCGGTGTTTGCTATTTGGATATCTGTTCAGATACTTACGGAGGGGAGCTTAGGAACCTGAATTCTGGCCCGTTGGTATATGCAGTTTATATGCATTCACATTTATATATAGTTATACCTTCGTTTTTCTCTGGTAGTTTTCAAAATATTCATTCAAAATATTCGTATCAAGTTTCGGCGGTGGAGTGTTTTTATAGTTCTGTCTTGGCATACAAAAAATACAATAGTTATAAATACTTAGTTTCTGTTGTGGGGTGTGCGGTTATTCTGTTAAAGTCTGCCCTGAACGGGGAAATAAATATTTGTAACTTTTATCATCGAAAATAGTTGCCGTTTTGTTTCCCATCTGCCGGTCGCTTGTAAATGTGGCAATTAAAAGTATTTGTATTTGCATTTGCATTCTGTATATGTAGGAGGGCTCTTTGTAGGTTCTTTTGTATTCTGTAACTAGCACAACAATTGCACATTTAAATATGTATATATATATATATAGTTATAGTATAGGTTTATGCGTGTTTTGGCCTTGATTTTCAATAGTTTCAGTTGCTTGTTGGTTTTGTTGCGGTTGGGAAATGCGTTTGGTCTCTTTGTTTGGCCAATTTTCGCATTCCTTATCAGTTTCGCTTTCAAATGAAATTCCAATTTTGTTTATCTTTTTCCTACTCTGCCTGCTTCACATATTTTTTATTTTTTAGCTAGTGCTAGTAACATGAATAATTTAATTTGATTTTATTTATTCTTGTTTGCCCGCTGGTGTGTTTGAATTTGTCTATTCGATATAGGAAATTATCATAGGTACACATATCAACACAGTAGTTATGGTTGGTTAGTACAGCAAACTCTTGCCTATATTTATGTTTATCCATTTAACTATTTATCTCTTTACTGGTTTTGCTGCACAAAAATTCTGGAAGATAGCAGTTCGAAGAGTGGGGAGTTTCAAAGTAACGAGTGCCCTTTGGAAGATACTGAGTGAAGGAGGAGCTTTGGTAAAACACAGCACATAGAGCATTTGAATTAGTGATCGTACAGCGTTGACTCTACTTCGATGTTTGTCTCTGGGGATCGCAATTTCCCCGATCACTGTCGATGTCTTGGCGATGGCAGACTAACGAAGTTGAAGAAAAACCGAACTTATGACAAGTAAAAGGATAGATCTGAAAGGCTGTGCAAGTATTCCAAACCAAACAATTCTCTTACAAACTAAATACTTGATTACCGATTAATTATTTATCCATTTATCTATATATTCATAATTTTTTTTTGCATAATACTCCATCCATTTGTAATTAACAATCATGAAATTTCTTGCAGATCGCTTGAGTTAAGTGTAAATATTAAAAATAGTTGTAATTTGACTTGGATTTTCATCTTTGTTGTGCATCTTTGAGTGTTTTTTAACTTTAGTTTTCTTCTCTAAAATTGTCCTCAGCCACGCCTACTGCCTCCTTTGCGAAAGGTATAAAAAGTTCTTGCTACAGTTTACAGTTAAGAGTTACAGTTTCAACAATTCTTTCATTATTCATAATATACACAGCTAACCGCGTGTATAGGTTTAGGTTCCTTCATTATCGAGACCGTTGTATATAGTACAAAATTTACAATAGAAGCGAGACCTTCTGGGTGGAAAAACCAATTGGGGAAGAGTGTTTGGTAAAAGTTGGTGGTGTTTAGGGGGTTTCTGAGAGGGTTAAGGGGGTAAAACGGGGAAAAGCCCTAAGTTGTGTATAAGCAAAAGAGCTGAAGGCTGCCTCTCGGGGGACAAGCGCGTGTCTAATAAATTTATACAAAATCTGTGCTCAGAAAATAGTTTACAAATATACTTTAGACTTAGTTACACTGTCCTTTGGGCGTGATATAAAATGTACAAATCATGTACATATATCTCATAATTATTTGTATTGTAAATAGCTTTTTGTCCTGTATGTCTGGGTGTGATTATGTTCCGTGTTTTTTGGTATTTGTTTGGGGGGTTTCTCAAGAAGCTCAGAGTTACGCAGATTTTGATTGTTTCCTGGCGTATGGTAGAAAAGATGCTGAATTGTCCTTGGTATATTTATTTAGGTATACATGTTGCTGATATATTCGTATAGTTTAAATTGACCCAAAAAATGTTCTGTGTATATGTGATATTTGCGCTTTTTCAAGGACGATAATCCTTACTTACATATCTTAATCGTGTTTCTGTTTCTGGTAAAAGTCTTCAAAACGCATCTGGGTGCTGGAGTAGGTAGCTCGAGTTTTGTGTGTTCGTATATTTGTGATTTTGTTGGCTAATTACTTTTCATTGATTGCCCAATTGTGACAATTTCAGCAATGCTAGGCTTCTAATAAGTCCCTAATTTGTGTTTTGTTTTTAGTTTTTAATTTATCCGTAATTTTGTTCAAGCAACGTTTAGTGTAGAGAGCAGGGAACCCGGGGTTTCCACATTAGTGTTACTCGTCACTTTTGCACCATTTGAATTTCGATTCTTCGCTAACATTTACAAACTGAAGAGAAGGAGGAGTCTTTGTCAAACAACTAGATTAAGTACAATACATACAATGCTGGATTGGATACAATTTAGCTTTGGTTAAGTTATCATCGTCGCCATCGATGCAATTACATTGCTCGATCCGCAATTTCGTCGTGGTTTCAAAGCGTTTTACAAACGGTTCGTTCGGTAGTCCTGTTTCCTTTCTTTCTATCCTCTTTAAAATCAATTGATAAATCGCGCCTTTTGCTTGCGCACAAAGTCCTGCGCCTGTTTGTCGTTGATTCGCACCTCGAGGATTTGCAAAATGGGATTGCCTTTGGAGTGGGGGGTGGTTGGATAACATTTTACATAGCATCGAAGGAGATTTGATTGTCAGCTAATATTTTACTCACATTTATCCTTCTGCTCCATGAGTGGCAGTTCGATTTGCTTCAGCCCATGGAAGTTGTCCACACTCGTGCTGTAGTCGGCCACTCCGGGAATGTTGCCCAGGGCCAAGTAGGCTTCGCCACCAAAGTCATTGGCCGTCAGAACATCGTGGTCCATCACCGTGAAGCAGATCATGGCACCCTCGGTTAAACACTGCTCCAGGGTCACCGAGAACTCGAAGCATTCGTCGAAAACGGGGTTCAGAGTGCGCTGGGGGAAGGAATATTACTTGGTATTACGAAAGACTACACTTAAAGTATTCATGGTAACTAATGTTTGGTATCTTGATTTTTTCAATGATCAAATTGAATTATTTAACCCCAGAAATGATGTGTGTTTGGAGTACTAAAGTACTAAAAACTTAAAGACAACTATTCATTGTAACTAATGTTTGGTATCTTGATTTTTTCAGTAATCAAAATGAATTATTTAGCCCCAGAAATGATGTGTGTTTGGTTTTTATCTACTTTTTTAGACGGAAGGTTAGATTCATATTAATCCAAAAAGGGTTAAGTTTTGTTTATATATTTAAAATAAATATTTAAAATAAATATAGATTTATAGATAGTAACTAATTTCATAGTAAGTAATGTTGACTATACGGATTTTTTTATTGATCACACTAAACTATTTAATCAAAAAACTATGTGTCTTTTTTTCCAGATGGAAAGTTGAATTCATAATAATCAAAGTAAGTTAAGTTTGCCTAATTCCTGTCTCTAAAATCTATAAGTTTTCTATATTATTTCAATTAAATATACATTTTATTTTACCGAAAGATAAGTGAATGATCTTACCTTGTGCACATTGGTCTGCTGTTCCATGCAGTGAAGGAAAATCCTGCGGGGCAGGAGTTCAATGACCACGAAGGGATCGCTGAATCCGTTCGGATCCAGGGGCACCACATCCCTGGCATGCAGGACCTCCACGCACAGCGAATCGTGGTTGAAGTACGCCCTTACGGCCAGCGATCCGTAGGGCGAAGGCATGACGGCCATTAGCTGCTCCCTTAGCCTTTGCATGTAGAACATATCGATGAGGCGATCCGTGTCCGTTTTGTGGAACTGCAGCCGCTGCTCGATGCGCCAGAAGTCCTCGGTGTGCAGGCACTCCAGCAGCAGTCCCTGTCCCTCGGCGTGAAAGAAGTCGATGAGCAGCTGGAGGGCCTCGTACAGACGCTTGTGGAAATGCGTCGGCTTGTCCGTCTCATCGCCGGTTTCCATCTGGCGCGACATTTCGCCCAGCACCGTTTTCCAAATGAAGCGCAGCGATCGATTGAAGTTCTTGGTCAGCAGGGCGCTGTTCAGGGCGGCCAGGTGGCAGTCCAGGTACTCCAGCAGCGGGACAATCGCCTGATTGGCGGGCAGGGAGTCGGGTGACCAGGCCAGATGGAACATGGCCTTCTGCAGGGACATCTGCATGAGCGGAGCCAGCTTGGAGAGGATCCGCTCGCAGCGGTTCTCCATGTGGGTGAGACTGGACTCCAGCAGGTTGTCGGCCGACTCCTCCAGCGGCTGCTCATCCGATCGAAACTCCGCCAGAGTGCGACGCACATACTCCACATTGTTCACCGTGACGCACATATCATCGGAGCACCGAAAGGGACCCTGCTGCTCGTAGTAACCACCTTCCGCCAGAGCCGTGTGAATCAAATCGCAATAGTGCATGGCCGCCGAGCAGACGACATCGATGAGCTGCGACTCCATCATGATGGCCGTATCCTCGTCCGGCCAGTTCATCACCTTCCAGAACTCCTTGATGTTCAGCAGCGTGCTGGCCGTGTCCACCGAGGAGCTGCTGTAGCGCACAATGCGCTCGCCCTCGCAGATGGCGTCCATGCGAATGGCCGCCCTGATCCTCTGCAGCGCCTTCGCCTTGCTCACCATCATCCAGCGCTCCAGCGTCGGAATGAACCACTCGTGGCTGTTGCTCAGCGCCAGCGGCTTCTCCGGCGGCTGCGGCTGGGCGGACAGGTGTCGCTTCAGCTGGCAGAACTCCTGCAGCGCCAGGAAAAGCTCGAACGGCTTCGTGTCCACCGGCTCCGCATCGCCCTCGAGCACGGCGTACTGGGAGAGGTTCATCCGCACCCCGGGCACCTGGCCAGCGGCCATCCGGCTGTACACCTCCTCGCCCACCATCGCATCGTATTGTTTGTAGATGATGCTGAAGTACTGTATGCCATTCGTGCTGTTGAGAAAGGGGAAAGTAGGAGAAAGGGGGCGTTTACGTGGCTGGGCATCGATTTATGGGATTACATTGTCTCGGGGGTTCGAGATGGGTTGCACTATAATACTGTTTTATTTATTTTCTGTGTGTTTTTACTTTTTTCTCTTGAACCCCGGACTCTGACTATCAACTATTGTAATTTAAGAACTCTTTAAAATACCTTACATATGTCTTTAAATACCTACACACAAAAAATCAAAAAATCAAATCAATATGCGCATGGTAAATTTCTGGCATATCGTTTTTATCATGCAATACTCTGTCATTTTGGAATATGAGCGGAAGGGAGAAAGACATATTTGAAATTCGAACTGGCTGTTCTTTACATTTCGAGCATATCAAGTCAAAATTAATACCTCAAAACGTAAAATCGATCATCATTGCATATCAAGCTTATTTTGGGTGTATTATAATACTACTAATATTATCTCCTAATATTTCTGAGTCTGTTCCTAGCTTATTTACAAACCCTTTTAAACTGCCCATTTACCTGCGGCGTACAAATAATGGCTACTCGAATTTAAAGCGAGAAAATGGCGCAATTAGCCTCCAAGTAAATTTGGCTAATGCTGCTCGACTCGGCACTCAGCACTCGACACTCAACACTTTGGCTGACAGCCCCTGGACATTTGTTAAATGCCTCGTCAGGATGTCCGGGTTGCTCGCTCGCCCAAAAGCAGAAGGCAACGTGAGAGCATTTTTATGACAGCGCAATTAATTTGGGGCTTATGTGTGTAAGCCACTTGATGTCCTCATTAAGGTCCTTTTATGGCCGCGCTAACTGGCAAATATGTGACTGATTAGTCCGGCGGGATGGCCAAAGATGCGGCCCTATGCACCTATAAATGAGCCGTTATTGAAGCCCTTCCGGTTGCGTTTAATACCGCATCGTGATACGTAGCTGGATCGATTTATCATTTAATTTGAGAGAGATTTCGAAATTGTCTAGCGAACCAGTGCTGCTAACTGTTGACTATAGGGTACCAAAAGATATTTTACCAAATAAATAAATACCCCATCAAATGTTTTTTAGTAATTAAATTAATTTATATTCTCATGATTGCAAAGAACGTAGACTTTATAAGTCGAAAATATTTTAATCAAATACCTATTGGATGATGTTATCAAATATTGAAATTTCCTTCGGTAATGTAAGTGTGTTTCATTTTAATACTTTCTTAATATAATGGGAAAAATTCAAGATATTGTACAAAATTATTTTCCTTATTTTTCTTGCAGCAAAAGGCGAGGATCTAGGAATTCCGGAATCAGAAATTCTTTGGAAATCATTACGTAAGGGAAGAAAAACATTTTTCACTACCTTTCTATTAAAATAGTTAAGTTGAAAAACATCTCCACCACTTGAGCCCTAAAATATCCTCCTTGGGGGCAGTAATAGTTCTGCTCTTCTCAACGCTGCCGACAATCTGTCATGACAACATTTTGTGGCCCTCATTAATGCTCGTTAGCTTTATGACTTTGACTGGGCCATTTGACAAATGCTCAAACTGATTAGAGACTGGCAACTGTAAAGTGCTTCGCCCCCGGCGACGATGGCGGATTAGTTGGAATCGAAATGACGCCATTTGCGTGGGGGCCGCAATTCAATTGGGTCAACGCGAAGTGCACCGTTCACATGGTAACCCCGAGATGGGGGATCTAGAATAGGGGATGGGATCCAGGGACCTTTGCTTGTTTTGTTAAACTGCTCGGGACATTTTATTTGTTCGCTGCGAGTGTGTGGACCTTGGACCCGTTTAATGGGCGACACGTGTGACACATACTCAATCCGACTATCCAAAGGTATGTACACCCAAAAAAAAATCGATATGAATCGTAGGTCAATTTGACCTTTTTTAAGATCATTTTTAACTTGATATGAAACCAGGTAAATGAGATATGGTCGACCAAAACATATACTAGTGCGAGCTAGAAAACATGCTTTCGAAGTACGTCAGTTCGAATTTCGAATACGTCTTTCTCGCTTCCACTCATGTCATTTTGCTCGCCATATTGATTGTTGCGCTCTTTTTCGAAGTTAGAGAATCTCCGAGAGAGAGAATTCGGCAAAATGATATTATTTAATGTAAATTTTATGAATATTTCAGGTAAAAACGATATGAGTAGGAATAACCAGAAAATTACCTGGACTTATCGATTTTACGGCGACGTGCTTTTTTTTGTGTGTAACTAACCGAAACCGAAACTCAAAGGGAGACGAAAATGTAGGTACTCACTTGTCGAAAAGGGCATGATAGTACGTCTGTCCCAGCTGAATGTCGGCCGTTAATGTTGTTACGAAATTCGATAATGGATTGGGCAGTCCCTGCGACTCCCGCATCACCGTTTGGCCCCACATCACGGATCCCTTGCGCAGGGCGTTGACCACCTCGCCCCTGACGCCCTTGTTGAAGGGACACACGGCCCGGAAGGCTCTCATCGAGCCCAGGAGTCCCAGGCAGCGCAGCAGGAATTCCAGGCGAATCAGCGAGGGCGGATTGAGGGCGGGGAAGATGTCCCGGTGTCGACGGATCTGATTGAGGGAGCGCTCCACGAAGCCATTCATGGCATCCGCCAGCCACTGCTCGAGATCTCGACTGAGAGCCTCTTGGTTGGGCTGATTCCACTGCTTCTCCACGTCGCTGAGCAGCCGATGGAGGAATTTGGGGTCCAGCGGGGTGGAGCGATTCAATTTGGCAGCAGCCACATATCTAGAAATGAAAGAGGTTAAGGAGTTTAGGGATTTTAGAAGAAAGATTTAGGAAAAGGGAGTTTTTTTGAAGTAAGCGAAAGTATGAGAAATGCAGGAATACATCGTGTATTAACGTAAACTAATTTAAAATTTACGTTGCGTAGTTCAGATATATTTTCTAGAAAAAACAATAAATGGGCATAAATTAAAAATGTATTATAACACAGTGCAACATTTTTTTTTTTTTTTTTGTCTTTATTGAATTTAGAATCTGTCCTTTGGACAATCACTAAATGGTATTGAACAGTGCAACATGAAAAATGTTTCAGCAATCTTGATTTTACGGGCGGAAAGTACTCATCGAAATTATATAGAAACCATTTGCGTTTATCTGGCTAAGCTCGCTGTTTACTACGGTTTACTACGATTTACTACGGTTAACTACGGTTTACTACGGTTTACTACGGTTTACTACGGTTAACTACGGTTTACTACGGTTTACTACGATTTACTACGGTTTACTACGGTTTACTACGCTTTACTACGGTATACTACGATTTACTACGCTTTACTACGGTATACTACGATTTACTACGGTATACTACGATTTACTACGATTTTCTACGGCTTACTACGGTTTACTACGATTTACTACGGTTTACTACAGTTTATTACGATGTACTACGATTTACTACGGTTTACTAAGATTTACTACGGTTTACTAAGATTTACTACGACTTACTACACTTTACTACGCTTTACTACGCTTTACTACGATTTACTACTTTTTACTACGGTTTACTACGCAGGAGCATCAAACAACTACACTATTAAATAATAATATAGAATATAATAGGTAAACGCGAGCTAAGTCAGAGAAACCCAAATGGGTTTTAGCTAATTTCAGTAAGTACTGTCACACGAAAAATCCAAATTGTGGTTACATTTCATAAGAAAACCAAATGAATATGAGGTTTAATTTCAGGGTGATTTGATATATGATATATGTGATATGTACTACGAAAACCCACCTGGCCATGGCGCAGTGCAAGTCCGAGAGATCCCCCTGCACGGCCAACTGATGCAGAATGGTCAGAGCCGGACCCGGGAGGTCACCACACCAGGTCCATGAGGGTTCGTGCGTGGTCACCTCGTGCTGCATGAAGACCCTCTGGAGCTGCTCGACCTTGTGGATTTGCTGCTCGTGGTTCTCTTCGGCAACAGTGTTCCGATCCTCGCGGGTCGAGAGCCACATCTTGAGCCGGATTCGACCCTGAACGGTGCTCCGATGACTGCGTGCCTCCAGTTTGAACCAAGCATCCAGACCGGTGGATGGGATATCGGATAGCGGAATGTTCACGGATCCCAGGAAATCGTCCTGGGAGCCCTGGCGAGCCGATTGACACACCTGCTTGAAGAAGCGCCCCAGTCCGCGAACCCCACGGACCTCGTTCAGTCGCGAAACGGCGTCCATGACGCAGCTTTCGTCATCGTGGTCCCAAATGTCCAGGTGGAAGGTGTCCGTATTGATGTCATCTATGTCGCTGTGGGAAGTAAGTATAAAGATTTATGTAGATTTATTTGTAATTTACTCATGTTCATTCGTTTTGCAAGATTTACACATGCTAGCATGTGTTTATGGTTTTCTCTTAAACCTCACTGTGAGTTTTCATGCTCCATTTAATTTATTTCATGATTTATGGTTGCTTTTAAATTTAAGCAACGTTCCCTTTCGCTTTGCATTGTTGTGGATTTCTTAGAAAGGAAACGAAACGGCATTTGGAAAATCCTCATTGATTGGTGTTCAATAATGTTCATTAAGGATTTCTATGAACTAAATGTTCGCAATTGAACGTGCTATCATATATTTCCTCAATGGTTTAAAAATACTGTATTGTTTTTTCTGCGAACTACAAATTACGTGTTCACGGAAATTACGCTATCAAATGCAAATATATTTCCAAACAATTCATAATTCTTTTAATTGATTGGTGACCTAAGAAGAATTACGGCAAACCAGTTTTAATAAGCTTTATTTAACTCATTGGAAAATGAATAGCAGAGCATATAATCCTAATTTCTGGGAAGACTTTAGAGGGTATTTTAAATTCGTTTACATTCGCTTCCTTCTTTTGCTATTCCATTTTTATTGCAATTGCAACATAAATTTCATTGCATTCCTTATGGAGCCTTTCATTGTGCATTTGTGTTTCAATTTTATGGAGAATGTAAATGAATTTCTTTCTTTTACGGCTTACAACTCGTAAATTACGTTCGATATTGAAGCGAGTCGTTGAGCATGTGACAGGGATCACAGGGCCCACAGATGGCAATGATTTGTTTGAATTTTAGCTGTTGCCAGGTTTTCTCATTTATCAAGCGGCCAGGCGGAAACGAGAACTCCTCCCATTTGCCTTCATTTAATTCTAAATGTTTCTGTTTACAAATCCATCACTTAGGACCATTAATTTACTTACAATTTGAACTTCTCGTTCCACTTGGGGGTCAGCGTGTGGGGCTTGATGCTGGTCGCCTTGATGAGCTTGGCCGGCACCGGTCCGCCCAGTGAGTCGCGCTGCTCCCGCCGTCCCGCCTCCCGCCGCTTGAAGCTCAGCCGGAAGCTGTGCTTGCGGTGCGGCGGTGAGTCCGTGGCGCTGTTATCAAAGCCGCCGCTCATGTCCGCCGAGAGGGCGCGCGGCGTCGGCGGCAGCGGCAGCGGCGACACGGGCGGACCGCCGTTTTCGTCCGGCTGGATGCCCAGCATGCAATACGGATCCGAGAAACCTGCAGGGCAATAAATAATTGAGTATAGATTGGATAAGATTTGGGTCAAGCAGAGGGATGTACGAAAATACACTGAGAAAAATATTATCAAAATGGGAAAAAAATGTGGTTATCAAAAAAAACTAAAAAGGATTAGAAAAAAATGTTCAAAAGAATTTTCCACCAAATCTTTGAACATGAAACGAAATTTAAAAACGGTAGGAAGTAAAAATTTGTAATAGGTGTTAAACTTCTTCTATATTTTTAAATATCCTTGTTAAATGTAATTATTTTATTTATCTAAAAGCCTATCATTTATTTAGTTGAATCAGTATTTTAACTTTAAACGTTACAAAATTGGCCAACTAAGATAAATAATTAACTTTCAATTAAGTGATATTTAAGTAAATATATATTTTAACAATGATAAATCAATTATAATGCCTTAATGGCATAATGTAACCGATATTATGCTTTTATCTCTGTGGAGGCCAAGACAAAAAGATGGGAAAAGACCGGTAAGGGGGTGGGAAAAAAAGGAGCAGGGGGTGTGAGAAATGGTGGCGCATTAATGAAGAGCTCGCCTGATGACATTAAATGCCAATTAATGGCACTGCCCGCGGGGACAACGTGGCGTCGGCGTCAGCTGGTCCCAGTCACACATTGCGTATGATTAACATTTCATTTGCATAAAGTGCCGCTCAATTATTGAGTGCCTGTGATTTACGCGCACATCATTGGGCTCTCAGCCTCGGCAGCCACAGATGCCCGTTGCCAAGATTAAGATTTTTGCACAAGGATATCCCATAATTGAAACAATTACGCCGTCGGGCGGGGGGACAATTTCTGTTATTGGTATTATTTCAGGGCGATTAATTTAATTGGGTTCAAAATGACAGCACATAAGAGAGGTCATATCCGCTTGCCGATGCTGATTATGTACTAAAACCGATTTCCTGCGATATGGATTTACTTTCAGTGGGTTTTTCGCCGGTAAATCGATTACGCCGCAGAAATGATTCATTGAAATTCGGACTCGTACACTCGGGCACTCATTGTAATGGCCAATTTGATTGTTGCCCTTCATGCTTGACCAGTTGGGTAAGGAATCACTGGCTGCTAATGAAAATCGAACCGAACGGAACGGAACTGAACCTGATTCTCCGCTTTCGCAGCTTATTTGCCAATCGAGAATGGCCCAAACAAAAGCCGACCGCTCTCATCGGCCACGTTTCATTGGCAACGAGTTGTTTGCCATCTGCCCGGGGCCTCCCGTCCTTTTGGCCACCGAATGCCTCATTCTGGCCTATTTGGTGTTGCCTTTGCCTCCAGACGGTAGCCATCATCAGTACATTTAGCAGATGGCAGACGGCACACTAACACTGCACTATTACATTGAGGGGCGGGGAGCAGAATGGGGGGTGAATGGGTGGGGTAGGGAAGGGGAGGTGCTCCCGGTTAGAAAAATGCTTCAACAGAAGCAGACGCAGACGAAGGAGCACTCAACGTATTCCTTACACATCCTTGAGCACATTAAAATGCGAAATTGCGTTGCCTTCGATGAGGCTGCTGCTTCTTTTGCACAGAGAAGAAAAAGTAGTGTAGTCTTTTCTATTAATTAAACTAAAATGTATTTAATTAAAATCGAACTCTCACTTAAAAAAGGATTCAATAATAATAAGAAATGATTTTAAAATACCCTTTTTAAAGCAATTAATAAGTTTCACAACTCGCAAAAATTAAAGCAAATATTAAAAACTAATGCTAAAAAATTGTTAATCTAAAATTTTAATGTTATTATTAAAACTTACTTATTAAAAACTTTTAAACTTATTTACCAAACTATATATTCACTTCTAATCAGTAAGAGTCAAAGTAAATACTTATCCTTGAGTAATTTGAAAAAAACCTTTCATTTTATTTTAATTTCCCTTTTTAAATAATTATAGTTCACAAATATTAAATTATTTTTCCCAGTGCATTCCTATTTCTGGTTGTGGGGCTTCTGGCTCTCGAGCATAATGAACAAAATGGGAAGCATTAAATTGCAAATTTATTGAACGCACAGTGAGCAGGAGCCAGGAGAGCCAGAAGCGGCATAACCAAAACTGTAACTTTGACTTGGTTCGCAAGGGGGGACAACGACAACAAAAACGCTCCGAAAATATAGGATAATTGGGGGAAATAGTCAACGCACATGGTGCTCAGTTTATGGATGGCTCGTTTGGCTTTTTGATTTGCCCAAGTGCACACACGCACCGCCACAGAGGTTCATAATGCAATTACCGCAGTAGCCGCAAAATCAATTTACAAACTAAAAATATTTACACACGATACATGGATAGACAGATTGACACATTGAAGGGGTGTTTGTAGGGGGTGGATGTGCATCGGGGAAAGCGGAAATAGTGAGGAGAGGAAAGTGTCGATTGTGCGGAAAGCTGAGGGAACTATGTAGCTTACCATTGGCATCCTTTGCCTCGAGGCCATCAGCCTCGATTACCACCGCAGAGAGTACGATTATCTTTGGTTTATCCTCGGCGGAGGCGTGCAGCAGTCGATAATGACGATCCGGATTGACACCGAAGGCGCGCTGTGCGTGCAGATACATTTCGTCCTTGTAATGTGCAAACTGTGTTTATTTCGGCATTTTCGGGATTTTCGGGATAAAAAGACACATGTGCCAGACCAAATTACGCATACGCCACATGTTGCCATTGGGGAGAGAGCAAATATTTTTTTAATTTAATTTAATTATATTGTCATTTATTTGTAAATATTTAGCAAGTCAACAAAATTATAATATCATTTTGGGAGAAAATTTGCATATTTTCCTTTGGCAGACAATTCGTTTATTGCCTGCCCATCCGCCCATTCCATCCCATCAAACAAAATCCATTTTCTCTTTTTTCTCTCATCTCTATTGATTTATCTCCCTTGAATTTATTAGCCTGCCGACTTTTGATTTGAATCACGCTTCGAAAAACGCTTTCATCATATTCCCCACTACTGGGATGTTTTTATAATTTGATTGCTTTCGCTGCAGTCAAAATTATGAATAAACTGGGCTACCATTAAATTTACTTGAAAGGAAGTGCAAACAGCATTTTGCACTTGAAATCTTATTACATTATTTTTATTTTAATCCTCATTTTGGAAAGTGACGATAAATCGTTGATTGGGTCTCGGAATGAATAATGAGCAGGCAGAATATGTGAGTCAAGATTAATTTGGGTATATTGGCAGTATACGGAATATTTAAGTAGGGAAATTAAATATTCTTCTTCATGTGTGCTTTTGTAAAGGGAACCTTTCCTTTTTAAAGCCCGATGTCCCTGCTTAAGTTCATACTCATTAAGCTAAATAAAAAAAATGACTGCCCTATTAACGCGCTTTTAGTTCTACTCCAAATAATTCTTTATAATTGAAAATAATCTCAGTTTCACTTGAGGGCAGCTCAACGCAGTTTGTTTATCTTTTTAATGAACACCACTTGGGCAGATTATACCTAAGCAACCTTCAGCATCCTTCAGCAACTGTTTCTGCAACTTTCCCTGCATTCCATTTCGTTATTACTTTTATTTCATTTTTTCTCTTTTCATTAATTTCCATTAGGGCTGGCTTAACCCTCTGATGGCGCTGGCCGAGCAAATCGCATTTATTTGTAATTATTTACCATTAAATGCAAAAACTCGAGCAGTGGGACGCCCGCAGAGACGGCCAGGCAATAACTTTACTGACTTGGCCAACTCACTATTCTGCGTCCTTCGTCCCTTTTCTCATTTCTCGATCCGCTTTGCGGGGACCCGCGAGATTCGACCGGTTTCAACTCAATCACAGCAGGAGGAAGAACCTTATTTTCCGCTACTAGTTGAAACTTTTGTTATGCTGGCGTAACCTTGCCATCTGCCAGCTCACCACTCCACACTCAACTTTGGCCCCCGGGAACTGCTCAAGTTTCATTAGTTGTGCACTGGGCGTCTAACAATTTTCTTACTGCTAAATTAAAAACGATAATTGAAAAATGAACTCGTGTTAAGCTGGCCCCGGCCATCGCAGAAATATTGGAAAATTCCTTTTGAAATGGCAATCAGCAATGAGGAGGAAAAGTAGCACATTTTTAATTGAATTTCTGCCCTCAATATGGAGACTTGAGAGCTCTGAAATGAAATCAAGTTACCTACCTACCCCTCTTCCTGCTTCTTGATTTCCTTTTGGATCCTTTAGTCTCCAGACTTTGGTCCCCCAGTCGCAAATCTCTAAAATCCCAGAATGTGTTTTCTTGCCTTCGGCTACCCGAGCATTAATCATTCAAATTGCAAAACGTCTCAAAGCCTAATGCCGGCGATTAAGCCTTTCAATCATGTGGTGTCCCCGCCCCGAGGCAGAAATGTTTTTGGTATCCCTTAAATCGCCTTAATTTGTGTAATTTGCAACTATTTGCATAACCCCATCCTAAATCATAATTTTATTCGGGGACTGGGGATATTGATTTACCTGTCCACCTGGAGCCGGGGCGCCCACCGTGTTGGCAATGGTATGCAGGACCTCCGCGTACAGCTTCTCCTTCTCGTCCTGGCGGTCAATGGACTCCTCGCTCGCCGGCGGATCACGTTCGTTCTCCGGATTAGCCTCGGCACGTGCTTCGGCGGCACGCGTGGCCGACATGCGACGATTTTCACGTTTCCAGCCGAGCGATGTAAAGTTCTCAAAGTACGAGCCGTCCGTTTCCTGAACTCTGTGAACGGGAAAGTGCCAAAGGGTAAGGGTTATTTACATACCGTATACTCGTGTGTGTGCTTTTTTTATGGACTCTCTATTTCGATTCGATATCAAAGGATATTCAAATCAACTGCTTCTGCTTTTGCTGCTGCTGCTGTCAGTTCGGTGTCTGACTTTAATTGGCACTGTCAATATGCCGTTGCCAACATACAAATGTGACATTGCCGTACCTATTTCAACATTGATAAGGGTCGTCGCCTGTTGCCGGGGACCACTCGGCGTATGCTCGATGCCCCGGAACGAAGGCTTACCCTGAGCCGCTAATTGTATACAAATATTCAGCAGCTGTGCACACAGAGAACGAATAAATTTCTAAATGTCATGACTAGGAATATTACATTTATACATTTTTTTTAAATTTAAAAAATATATTAATACATAAAATTTATTTTAAAATCCTTAAAAAGATGTTTAGGGACTTCTCTAATTTTTATTTTAATAGTTTTTAAATATTTAACTGAGTATAACATTTATTATTAAAATGTTTTTTCTCTCTTTTTATTCATTAAGAAATAATAAAATATAAAAAAAAGGGCATTATAATTCTTAAAAAGGATATTTTTACTTTTAATTATATTTACATTTATATTTAGGTACTTCTCTAATTTACTTTTTTAATAGTTCTTTTAACTGAGTAAAACAATTATTATTAAAATGTTTTTGACCGACCTTCTAGTTATATTGCTTTGTTGTCATAATATTAATAAGCTCTTAATACCAAGTATACATTATTTTTCCCAGTACATATTGGATTGAAACTTTCTAGGCTTGGGTCCTAACTAGGGCTACTCACGATAGTTGATGCTCCTCCTAATCATTTGATTTGCATGCCCCGCTCTCTTATCCGAGTCCCGGATTTATCCGAGCAGCTGTGGCAAAAAAAAGTTGGTCGAAACTTTGTCCACTCAGCAGGGGAAATGAAACAGCTAAGCGGCTTAACTTTGTCGCCCGGCGTTGATGATTTTTTACGTTTACGTTTATGGCGAAAAATAAACTGACGGGGCTCCCGAAAGTAGGCAACACTTTCTGTCGGCACTTTTTCCCAACGCGTCGTCCCCAAAATGTTGGTAACACTTTTCGGGGTACATCTAGGTAAATATATATATGGGGGAGTGTGTTTTTGGGGCTGGGGCTGGAGGCGTGGGCGTGTGAAAACGGTCAACATAATTGCCGTAAATGATAGGGTAGACGTGGACTGGACTGGGTGATTCGAGGACACTAACTGCATTGTCTGAAGTTGTCCCTCTCGAAAGTTGCTTGTGAAAAATTTAATTTTAAACTTTTCGCCCAGATGTTTGTGTTTCTTGTATTTTTCTTCTTGTTGCTTCGCCTTGTGATTTCATCGCTTCCAGAGACACTCAATTTCGGTTTCAATTTTTAAGATTTTTCACAGTTTTCTTCTGTCATTTTTTTTGTTATGTGGCTCAAGGAAAAGTTTTTGGCGAACTTTTTTATATTTCTTTGGTATTTATTTTGTCGCAAATATTTATTTTGTATTTAACTTTAAGGTAAACAATTTTCGGTCGCCAAAGTTTTTGTTCAAGGCGCACTCAAGACTTTGCAGCCCATAATTAATATTGGTTTTTATTTGTCGGAATTTAAGTGAATGCTAAATAATTTATAAGCAGCAGCATAATGTTGAGTGTTCATATAAAATATAAATTAATCGTGATTTATTTTCATTTTGCTAAAATTTAATGGCTGTGGTGACAAACCAATTTTGTGGCAATTAGTAGTTAATGCATAAAACATGAATTTTCGCGCATCAATTGCATTTTAATAAGCTCAATTTTCGGTTTGACTTCCAAATGGGAGAGAAAATAGCTTTTTAAATTGCATGCAATTAGTTGTTGATAAATCAAACAGCTACAAATTGGTAAACATTTTTGGGAAAAAATATTTTACTGTGGTCAATAGGTGCTCATTATCACTAGAAAGGTGAGCTCCAGGTGATGGTTTCACAAAGGGAAAATTAATTTCATCCTTGAACAACTTTGGAACACTCCACGAGACCCATTATGCCGGAAAGCCAAACCATTTTAATGGATGTAAAAACTTTCCTCTCCAGGACTCATTTCACACTTTCGACTCATCAAAACCTCATATTTCTTTAAGCAATCTCCCAAGTAAACCTCATTTTCGGGCTTAATTAAATGTAACCTGTGATCCGAGCTCGCGTCGAGCGCACATTTTCAGGTTAAGCAGATGCCGCATTATGCTAAGTGGCAGCGCTGCCTTTTGAGCCACAAAAAAGGAGATGTTGCAGCGGCTGGAGGATGTTGCACCTGCCTGCCAGTTTCTCGGCCACATTAAGAGCAATCTGGGCGCCCAAGGACCAAAGTCGGGGTGCCTTTAAGCCCAAGCCCAAAAACAAGACACTCTATACTGTATGTGTGTCTGTAGGTTATTTTCAAAAAAACTTTTCGACTCTCAAAGGTTTCTGCCCGCATCCCCAGTTGCCATGGTCCTATGAAACTGGGTGGGTGCTAAAGTTTCTTTCGAAATTTCGGCACCGAACTAACTGAAAGAACTTTTGTAATTACGTAATTATGAAGGTCGAGCGGTAAAGTTTCGCTTGGCAATTCGCAAAAACAAATCGAAAACACAACTGAAATTGAAGTACATTAATTAATTGGTATATAATTTATTTTAGATTTTCGCCCTTCCGTGACTTTAAGTCCTTGCCAAATCCCCAAAGTAGCTCATTATTGCCAGTCCCTGTGTAATTTATGCATTTCACATTCGAATACCTCTGTCTACACACGCGTGTGTGTAAATATCTCCTGGCCAAGTTGGGGCAAAATATTAGCATTTCCATCTGTGGGTTAATTACCTCGAGCAAATATGCTCGGCAGGGGCCGTCAGACAGGCTTTTAATTTGCCAAATCCATTCGCACTTCATCAACTATGCATTAGGGGCACCGGTACCGGACTTCGACTTGGATTCGGAATCCGATGCGGACTTACCCGGAATTGGAGCGCGGATCCACTTCGGGCCAGCTCAGCCGGCGTTTGCAGAAGGCCAACGGCGGACGGGGCGGCGGATCCGGCTGGTGGAGCGGCGAGTTGCGCTGCCTGAAGGATCCGGTGCGGGGCGGGGCCAGGCATTCCAGGGCCCGCGACTGGCGACGCGACTGGGGAGTTCCGCCGCCCCCTCCGGAGGCGGATGTCGAGGGACTGCCGGGTCCCGCAGCCCCACCTGGTATTTTCGGGTAGCCTGTTGGCGCAAAAAATAAGGGGTAAAAGCATGAGCATAATGACAGGAATTAATTTAAAGCCGGCGAACAGAAGTTTTTTATTTCAATTTGAGTTTTATTTGTTTTGGTTTATAAAAATAAATATAAGCTATATTCCATTAACAACTAATGGAAATGGCTTTTAGGCTTTCAACTAATGTTAAACTTAATCTGCTTGTGGAAGTTCATGCAATACTATATGTTTTTCAAATAAATCCATTTATTAATTATTTCATTTATGTAATCTGGCTGAAACTGGGATTTAAATTAATTAAGTTATAAAGTTCTGGCACCTAACAAAAATCTATAATAGTGTTTTATTTAGTAATTATATGTTAAATTTGTATTTTATTGTTTTCCCAGGTGATACAAAATTTTCCCACATGTATAAAACCTAAAAAAGCAATGGCTTTTGTTTGCTTTCCAATAGTTTTCATCATACTTTTGTGAAGTTTCTTGACCAAAGAAGATTGAAAGTCATACATGAAGTCGGTTTCTAAAAACTATTTTCCCCAATACCATATTCCATAATGCCCGCAACATGCAAATATCTGTGGAATACAGGTGGATGATGGCTCTGAGGAAAATCAGGTGGGAATGGAGGGAAGTCAAAGTCAATGTGGTGCAGGGTGGTGCAGTGTGGTGCAGTGGTCCGTGCTCAAGGCAACGGCAACGGCAACGGCAATGCAACCGCAGCCCGCAACCTTGACATGCATCTGTGTGGGTCCTGTGGCTCCTGCATCTGGTCCTGTTGCCACTCCTGTCTCCCAAGGACTACGACCAGCAGGCACAGAAGCCCCGCACAGAGTGCCTGTGGTGGTGGTGGCCAGGACTGAATGCAGTCAAAAACTAAACACAAAAAAAAAACAAGGGAGGAAACGAGTATGCACAGAAATTTCGGGGTTCTGTTCGGTTTAAAAGTGTGCACAAAGCGTAAAGTCAAAGTTGGACAGCCACCGCCGGACTCGAATGGGGAAAACCGCTTACACGTTGATGGCTTTTCGGGCAAAGAATTCCCCCAATTCCCCAATTCCCCGCTGGCCGCTGCTGTTGGCCAGAAAAACCACTCGTTCGTGGCTCCTGCAACAAGATAAGCCAATTTCAATTTTGATTCAAATGCTGCAGACGTCGCTGAATCAAAGTCCCAGCCAAATGCCAAGTCAATGTCGTTGAAGATGGCGTTAGCGATGGCGATGGCTATAGGATGGCTAAGGCGGAAAGCTGGAAAGTTCAGGATCCGGCGGTTTGTGGCCAGGACATGCTGCTCCTGCTGCTGCTGCTGCTGCGTCTTGACATTTAAATGTGTTTGCATTTGCCAACTACGACAGAAACAACAACCTCGAACATCGTTTAGCTTGGCAAACAAGTTTTGCATAGCCAAACGGAGCCAAAGCGGAAACGAAGCCGCACAAGAAGTCACATATGCATGTTGATTGCTTTCGCTCCGCCAGCGAGGCTGCACTGAGAAAAACTGGCCACAAAAAACCAATAAAATTTGTTACCTTATGTAAATAAAACCGAAAAATTAAATTATGTAATTGAACTAAAATTTCATTAAATTTTTTAATATACCTACTAACTTTTAACTTTTAAATTTAAGCAGAATAATTCCTAAACTTAACCTTAATTTCTTATTTTTTCAGTGTTGTGATGAAAACCCAATTTAAACATTTATTTTATTTAAATATTATATCAAGCGTCCTGGGTTTTCAGCAAAAAAGTAAACTTCAAAGCATATTAACTTATATTGCATGCATATCATATGGTTATCCTAAATTCCCGAGTTTTAGTTCCTTGTGTAACCCCCACTATCATCCTCCAGAGCCAACTGGCACCCCATTGCGGTGGTTTTGTCTGCACATTTGTTGATCCATATGCGAGAGGCGTTGCCCCAAAAACATTCGGCGATTGGCAAACTTTGGGCGCATTTGGTGGCTGGCAAGACATGTAATGTAATTTTCATATTGAGACCCGATGACGATAACGTCTGGCGGATTCAATAAACTTTTCCATGTTTACCATCTTTGTGGCACGCATACGCAAACAAATTGTTTTTGGGCCAAGTTATGGCAGCTGATGGAAAGTGAAAGTGAAAAGGAAAGTCAAGTCGTAGCCAACTTAAAGGTGAGTCGTGCTTTTTTACATGCATTTCACTCCATGTTTACCCAATATGTCCCGGGGGCAAAAACCACATCGAAAAACTCCATTAGCAACTTAATTAGGGGCAAGGCTGTTTTTGGATTCCAGCCAACCCATTCTCGCTATCTGCGAGGACGTGACCTTTGGCAAAGCCTTTTACATGGAAAAAAGTTTACGCAAAATCAAAAGCTTCTTAAGAAAGGGTGTTGATTATCAAAAATAATTTTTTTAACAATTTGAATCTTTTGAGTCGATTCAGTTGTTGATTTTTTTAGTAACTTATCCAGAATTTTGTGGGATTCTAGAACCAATTTGTTGTTGCATACTTTTTGAATACCATATTTACTTTTATTTTTCATGAGAGAGTATGATGTAATCTTTCAATTATTTTATTTTATTGCCTTTAGAAATAATTTAATTTTATATCTTCAACAGATTTTTAAAAAATATTTATTATTTTTGGATAAATAAATCATTTAGGGTAGATTTAAAAAAATAGATTTAAATTAATTTTGCTTAGTGTCTAGGTAGCAACCAAAACAAAAACCAGATCCGTAGTACAACTCACCCAGTAATGGATTGGTGGCATTTGGATTGCCGATTACCACGCCTCCGGAGGGGTAATTACTGCCGCCCCCCGACGCTGCCACGACCCCGGTGGGCGGGGCGGGGGTGCCGTAGACGCCCAGTCCGCTGCCAATGCTCGCCTGTTGCTGCAGGGGGGCGTGGCCATGTTGCTGCTGCTGCTGTTGTTGCTGCTGCTGCAACAGCAACTGTTGCTGCTGCTGCGGAAGTGACTGCTGCTGCTGCTGCTGTTGCAGTTGCTGCTGCGGAAACGACGCCTGCTGCTGCTGCTGCTGGCCGGAAACGAGGCCGCCAGGTGTGGCGCCTCCGATCCCCGACTGCTGCTCACTCGACTCCTGACGCGAAAGCGAGAAGCGACGGTTGCCAAGGCCCAGACTCGAGATGCCACTTGTTACATATTGCTGCATGGAGCTGAGGAAACTCATGGCGGCATCTGGCTTTCCTATCTGGCTGGCTGGTGTAATTGGCTCGAGTTGCTTCGCTTGTCGTCTTTTTGTGAAATTAATCACTTGGAAAACTTGCGCCCGGGATTTGCCTACCCAATTCGTTATGTTTCTCCCCAATTCACGATTATAAATTGGTCCAGACTCGCGCTCCTTCGTCGTTTTCTTTTCAAGGCTCTGCAAGGATAAAGACGAAACGAAATGTTTGTTTAAGGTGAACCTTTTGCAATCCGCTGGAGAATTGTTTTCTGCTATTTTTGGCAATAATTGAATTTCGGCCAGGGGCTTAAGATGGGGAGTTATGTGTGTATGTAAGTATTTTCGTGTTCAGATTAAAAGCAATTACAAAACACAAAAGCCGGACGAAATGCTCTTCATTTGCCTTTTTGAAGTAGCATACTTTGCAGCGCTGGAATTTCATCGGATCCAAACAAAAAATTAATTAAGCCAACTTGTTTGGCACTTTTATAGCCACTGCACTCAAGGGCTCTGATTCCCCCGAACTTCTTTCCCCGATTATATTTGTCTTTGATTCGTTTCGTCAGCAGTTTTGTTGACTTACCACCCCAACTCCTGTTTGCTCAACCAAATTCAGTACAAATATCGAGGGGAAAAAGGCGATTGCATTTAGGCATTGCTTCGGTCTATACATACACATCGATTGATTGCCGAGTCGTATTGCTCACCAGAAGGTCTGGCTCTTAATTAAATTTCTTTTGAAGTATACGCCCCGATTCCGCTGTCCTAATTAACGTTTAATCAGCTGAGCCTAATGAGCCATTTCTGGGTTCATGGCTAATCGATCTGCATGAATAATTGGGCAGAACACACATCCACTAGCATTACCTGGCCGAATTGTCCAGGGTCCATAAATTGGTCCCCATGTAATTTGGCCCAACTAAAATACTAATAATAATATTTTCGTCGACCGAAAATAAACGCTGGACCAAGCAGAAAAGTAGTTAATTAATTAGTTTGTCGGGTTTGGCTCTCATTTATGGATGAGCGAATCGGCTGGCGAAAATGAAATTGCAAATTGAACACCAGTTTTGGTTCTGGTTTCCGCCGGCCATTCAAACGTGACCGACTTAGCTGTCCGCCCTTTCGCTCGCTAAAATCACCATGGAAATGTTAAGGCTCTTGGGTCATTTCGATTTGGCGATGAAGGAGAAGCTCAAACTTGGCAGAAGAGTGTGGAAAATTAAAGGATTTAATTCTTGATAAGGAAAACCAATCAAAAGCCGAAAATCTTTAATACTTTAGCTTTAAATCAGTGAAGATGAATTATGTTTATACAATATTATGTTACTAGTAGAGTAAAAAAAATAGCCGCTAGATGGCGCCAGTGGCTTTAACGACTGCATGTTCCCATCTCATTCGCACTCGCACCCTTTAGCTGAGTAACGGGTATCTGATAGTCAAATAGTCTATCAAATAGATAAAGTTGAATGAAAGTACAAATTTATCATTTGACATTCCAATATCTATTTGATAAGTATTTATTGGTATCAATAAAATGTTCCCGAGCAACTCATATTAAGCCCGCCCAAAAACGAAATACTCGACAATTGTCAAACTGTTTACTGTTGCCATAAGAATAAAACTGATTAAATTCGCAACATAATCGTAGGTGGTAACACGCAGGATAGTGCAGTTAAGCACTCTCGGGGACAATGAAGGGTATTATGTGCTGTGCTGAGTGGCTTTAAATGCCATAAAAGCAATGCGGGGCCTGAACCAGTGCTAGGATATGGCCTTAAATGGCCAGCAGCCATGGCAACTGGAACTACAGTTGGCAAACAATTCGCATCCAGCAAAAACAATGGCCAAAACAGCGATGATTGCGATGTGTAAGCCACTGCGTTCGTGGGCGTAATCAGCGCATTCATGCATGGGACTTTTTCGCTCTCTCTTTCTCTCTCTAACCTATATACGCCTCTCTTTCTGGTAGGGTTTAGCTTTAGCATGTTATCCTGCTTACTGGTGCCATAATTAGCGGACTCCGAAAATAATTTGCAAACCATTCCTGTTATCTCGTTGTATGTGTGGTTCGCTTTATTCGGTTTATGTTTTGTTTTCGAAAGCGCTAAAAATAAATCAACCAACACACAAAAGTTGATTTATATGGTGCACGTAAATTTGCCATTAAGCGACAGACAAATGTATTGCAATTAAATGAAATGGAAGCGGAGCCGCAACAGCAACAGCTGCCCACCACCTTAGGTGTATGCTTGTATGTTTGAGTATGTGAATGGAAAGGGGGCATAAATACGCAGCCAACTTAGACTTTAATTAAGATTAATTAGTCACTGGCCAAGCGAGGCAGCAGGAAGGGCCATGTGTGAGTTACTGGGTGGGCTGCATACACAGGAAGTCGTGGAACTGTCGATAAAAGTTGACCTTTTCCGAGAAAGAATCAACTTGAAGTCTTTAAAAACGATTTCTATTAAAAAATTTATTAAAATTCTTGGATATTAAAAGGTTTTTACTTGTGTTCTGTTTGTTATATTAAAAACCAAGGTATACATTTGGTACTTTCAATGTTTTTGTAAAAAGGTATTTGGATATTTATTTAACATTTTATTTTTGTGGCTTAATTAATTCCAAATAAAATTTTTTTACTATTACAAATTTTTAATAATTATAAGCGTTTTTTTTTTAATTTGTATTTATTTTGTAAGCTATTCTTCTTCTTTCAGTGTAGTAATGTATGCCATAAATGAAGGCCACAAGCCATTTTCTCGTCGCTGTTGCTTCAATCTATTTAGTTTTTATTAATGATTGCGCATACGACATGTGGGCCAGTGAGAAGGGTGTTTGCGCGGGTGGGTGTGTGTGTGCCGACAGCAACCCTTGTTCGAAAAAGTTTTTCCAGCTCGCCGGGGGAAAAAACTAAATTAAATGTGGATTGCACTAATGTGACTTCCCGAAAATATTCCGGAGAGCTGTCACAACATCGCGCTCTCTATCAACTCGCAGTAATTATCGTTTTTTGTGCCTCGAAATGAACTGAGACGAGGGTCTAGCCGACTGTCCCACATTCGAGTCAATTTAAGACACATTTTATAAGCTGATTTGGTTACCAGGCATAATTTAAAAGCATTCCATGTGCCCACCCACCTGTGCAAACAATTCTGCGGTAGAAAGTTCTACGAAAAAAGATGCGAAATCCAAATAGAAGGCGGAAAATTGAAAAACAAAATCTTAAGAATCGCCAAGAAGAATTTGAAATACGCTAACCAAAGCTTTAAAGTTCATAAGCATATGCAAAAGGGAAGTTAAATAAATAAATCCCTAATAAAAGATTTCTTTGAACAGAAATATTCGGGATATACATATAAATTTAGGGTGTTTAAAATTTTAATGTTTTTTCATATACCAAATATTGTGCGAAAAATATCACAAAGCCACAGGAAAAAAAACGCAGAATCCCCAAAGGGAAAGGAATTCGCGAACACACACAAAAAAAAGCAATTGTAAGGCAATTTCAAAGGCAAAATTATTATGTCGCTTTATGTAATTTTTTTTAGCGAAAGCCAAGTTTTTCCCAGGCAACTGGCAGATGAATGTGTTGCAAAAAGTGCGGGCTTGGGGTAAATTCAGGATGCTTCGGAGGTGGAAATGGGGATTTTAGGGTGCACACTGGTACGTGAAAATGACAAAGCAGCTGCTCAACAACAAACGGCAACGCATGCTCTGGCATAAAATTTATTTTCACTCCTGGCCCGACATGATATGTGGCTTTAAATATGTGGAAAAAAAAAGCAAAAGAAAAGCAGAGAAAGAACTCGTTTACATTGCGGCAGATATTCCAGATTCGACATCTCAAAAGGCAAAAACGGCCAGGGGTTGGGCCTGAAAAACCAAGCCAAACAAATGTGCGGCATTCAAATGTCTTCCTTAGTTGTGTGTGGGCGTGGCAAAACATAAATTACTTTACGCACGGGCTGTGCCAGCCAAGTTCAGAGAGCGAAACGGGCCAAACAATGTAGCAATTGTGACCAAATATAATTTAATTGCCACCAGCAACTGTGGCAACCAGTCAGGTTAATAACAACCAATAATGCTAATAATCACAGCCATGGCAGCAGTAACAATTGCTAGTAACTACCACACTGCGCAATAAGAGTTCTTTTACAAACCGCGTTGAAATTCAAGATATTTTTGTGTATTTCCTACAGGAAAAACATTTTAATGAGTTGGGTAAACTAATTATTTATGATTTTTCCTCAAAATACAATCCGAATAATGGTTTAACTAGGTGTGATAAAAACACAGTTTTTCTTTTATGACTCTTGAAAGTTACTAAACCCTTGTGGCTTAGTTTTTTTCACCAAGGGAGTGCCAGTAATGCAGCCATCGAAAATGAAAACTGATGCGATAAGCATGAATTGCGTTAAACATGATGCGAAAAAATTGCATCTACCACAGAAACCAGGGAATGGGATTTTGTGTCCACCCACAGGGATTTCTCGTTTTTCCGCTTCATCAGTATTGGCATCATCATCGTCATCATCACCATAAATCACAAAAGTGCAGCATGTGCATCGCTTTCCACACTTTCCATTCGCCGTTCTTTGTTTGCTTTGGCAATTTGTAGTCAGCATGTTGCCGGGGCCGAAAAGCAAGGACTCGGGCTCTATTTCTCTGTCAAATGCAATAAACCATAGATCCTTTTGTGTGGCCACTACAAGATGCCGGACGAACAACTACGGCAAGAATGGCTGGCCAGGACAATGGGGTGCAAGGTTCCCAGGATCCAAAGGGGCCCATGAGTAATGGGGCCCAAGCATGCAAAAGTGCCGAACTGAAAGCCCCGAGAAGGTGGATGAGTTGCCTTTGATAAATGCGCCCAAGAAGGGTCACCTGCCTTGTGCAGCTGTCTGGTAAATTGCTTAATTTGTTAAAACACAAACAGGGCACGAAAACGCAAAGGCAAACACACACGAACCGGCACAACAGGGCGTATGGGCAATTTGCGCAAATGCAACAGAAATTCAATTAACTTGCTGGATTTGCGGCTATTAATTACAGGGGCTGCCGTCAAAAACGCTGCACTTATGGCGGCTGCAAGGAATCCGCATTGATTAAGTTGCCAGTAGAATTACCATGTCAGAGGTAAATCCTTTGGGAAATCCCACTAATTAGCCAGCCAAGGAGAAAATCAACATAAGACT